CTCACCAGCTTTAAACTCCACCACCTGCCATGGCAAATAAATATTTTAAAATAAAAGTTTGGTTTATCTACACCCCAATAAAAAGTGGTAGGACTGACTTGTGGCCTTTACCTCTTCCTCTGGTCATGTGTCCTAAAGGGGTTAAATACTCATTGAGCCAGGAGACGATCTGTGTCCTGGTCTTATATTATCCCTAAGGGAAGGATAAAGGTATCTTACCTATTTTACTCCAATTCAACTATATTCAAATTAAAATGGAAATAAAGTCACACAAAAAAATAAAATAAAAATATATTCATGCTACAAAAATCCATTATCCCAAGCCGTGTCAATCAGCTTGGAATCCAACCAATCACAGTCAAGTCTCGCTTCACATGCACTGAAAGTGTTAATTGCGGTGGTGCCCCTCTCCCAGTGAAACCTTACACCTGGTCTTCACGTTTAAATTCCGCTTTTGATACCATTCTCTTCGAGAAAATAAACCACCGTAAATATTCTACTGTCCAGTTAAAGACTAGCATACTTCCTCTAACTAACACATTATTTATTATTATTTACAAAGCGCCAACATATTCTGCAGCGCAGTACAATAGGTGGACAAACAGACACATATTTGTAACCAGACGAGTTGGACACCCAGAAACAGAGGGTGCTGAGTGCCATGCTCAAACAAACTCACATTTAAATGCTTTCTTATATAAATCGCTGTAAATGCTGACGGCTGTTAAATACTACAGACATGATTGTAATTTGTATAACTTAATTCCTTTAACCCCTTAAGGACACATGACATGTGTGACATGTCATGAATCCCTTTTATTCCAGAAGTTTGGTCCTTAAGGGGTTAAAGGAACACTCTGCATGAAAAAAAAATGAACACAAATCACAGTTTAGTAATTATTCCCCCAATGGAAACACGGATACAGTTAATTATGTGTGTGTAATAACATTGGAGTTATATCTTAAAACAGCTTGCAATACCGCCAGTGTTTTATGTCTGCAGCCTTTGCAACCCTACCCCTTCTAATCTCACCCAGACTTTCTGAAAAGAAGATGAAAAAAGAATAAATAGATTAAAATTAAAAATGACATTCAGCAGAGTTAACAGAAGACAAATACAACCTCTCCGACTGTTTGATTGACAGCTGGGGACTCATTTCTAAAAGTGCCAAACTCACTTAAAAATAGACACGTTTGTTATTGCAGTTGAGTTCTGATTCTCTGGTTGAAGTGCTCTAAGTGTGTGTATTTTTCTTATTTTATTTCTATATCCTGTCAATGTATTTTGTCTACCGTAATCCTCGCCCTTGCACAGTGTTACAATGACAGATCGGTAGAATGTTGGAACAATGCTGCGTGTGACAATGCCCGGGGTGCGGTTTGGAGGCAGGGCTGGCATTGTCTTTGGGGTGTTTAACTCCTTTATTGGAGATTCCTGGTCTCCTTGGAGATAACTAACAATCCCTGCAGCTCAATGTACACAGCTTCTGTTTGGCAGTTTGACTAGTCGACAGTCATTGCATTCTCAAATATAAAAACAAAGAAATCTGACTATTAAACCAGACAGGATGGTTGATTTTCTCAGTTTGTGATTTGCCAACGGAGGACGACATTCAGCACTTAGTAGGTAAGATTTGCCAAATTTGTGTAATTTCCCCCAAATTTGTTTTTTTCTTTTTTACTTCTATAATTTATATTTTAGTGTTCGGTTACTATGTCTTTTTGTCCCATTGTCACGACAAAATATTAACATGTGCCTGTCTGTTTTTGCCCACGTTTTGCACAGCTTGCGATCCGCGAAGCGCAGTATGTCTCGCCGGCGTTTAGAGGAGGCCATCCTTAAATCCAGAGAGTTGGGAAGCTCTGACGGCGAGGAGAGTGAGAAGTACTCAGAGCTTTTCGTGAGACATCGTGTTCAGCTTGCTAAAGATCCTCACAGCATTTACAGTTTGTGTTTCTCACCCAGCGGGAAGCAGCTCTCTGTGGGCTTCGGAAATGGCGCCATTCAGGTAATAAACTGATTGTCAGTACGCAGCTCCACATATACAATAAATATAGTTGTTTTGTTATTTACAGTTATCTGATTAAAAGCTTTATTCCCATCACATCCCGTGACTACACGGATCCTAGCACCCATACCAGCCATGTGGCACTGTCAGAAAACCATCACCATGATGTCATACATTGACACGTTTTTCGGTGGTGATGGTGTTATATTTTGTAATAAGAGAAAGACACAATAACTGTAGTCTGAAATTAACTTTACTTTTGAGTAATTTCAGTAAACTGTAAAACATGAGCCAATAAACAATGAGAGAACTTTGGAGTGAATCAAACTCAGAGAGAACAGCAGTACCTGAAATAAACCGAACTGAGCAGAACTATAACTCCTAGTAATATAAGGCAGCCAATATTTACATACAGATATACTGAGTCGTTTGGCAGATAGCTAGAGCAGGTTCTATCGCATAGCAGCATTATCAGATACACAGCGACACATTTTAATAACTATTTGTGGAATCGCGTGGTTTAACCAAAGTACAGCGTACTTTATAGATATTTAATATTTCTAAAGTGCCACCAAATTCTGCAGCACTGTACAATGGGTATAGCTTGAATAGTTCTCAGTCTGGTATAATATTATGCTAGTGCATGAGTAAAGTGAGAGTCAATATATAACAGAATTAGAAGCGCTGTCGTTTACCATAACACAAGACCTTGGAGATCGTGGTCACCGTGAACAGGGTCATAAACCAGGGAGTCCATGATAGGGGGTTAAGCAAGCGCTGTCTGGGATTGACCTGTGAAATGTCCTGTGAATCGATTTGTTAGTGATTAACAGAAATTAGATTAGCTCGTCACAGCTGAAAAGGGAATTGTGCACCGATCTATCATTTACAGACCCAGAATTAAATAGGCAAGTGATGGATGAATGCTGGAACAATTAACCTTAATTATGGAGGTATTCTGACACACACAGTCATATCACACAGCACCCAACTCACACATAAATCACACAATTCTAGAAAAATAAAACAGGTGCATGCAGTGAAGGGTTAATATACCAGGCAGAGGAGAATGTTGCTTCTGCACCTTGCTCGTATCCACTGTCCCCCTGTACCACATGCTATTAAAGGGGTCTTCCTAGATCTTACAGCATTAAAACATCTGCCCGATCTCCAATGTAGTTTGCTCATCGAGCCCTTAATTTGCCTTCTGTGCACTGAATTCCATATCAAAACTCACGGCATAGATTTCCCTTATTTACTAAACCAAAATTGTGCATAACTGACAACAGAATCCCTACGATTGCTACGTTCTATATCTCAGTGATTGTCACGTTCAGTGATTGCCACGTTCTGTATCTCAGTGATTGCCACGTTCTGTATCTCATTGAGTGCCACATTATGTAATCCAGTGATTGCCACGTTCTTTAACTCAGTGATTGCCATGTTCTATATCTCAGTGATTGTCACGCTCTGTATCTCAGTGATTGCCAGATCTCCCTTATTTACTACACCAAAATTGTGCATAACTGACAACAGAATCCCTAAAGTGATTGTCATGTTCTGTAGCTCAGCGATTGTCACATTTTTAAATTGGTGATTGTCACGTTCTATATCTCAGTGCCACGTTCACTCAGTGATTGCCACATTCTTTATCTCAGTCATTGCCACATTCTGTATCTCAGTAAGTCTCCCGTTCTGTATCTCAGTGATTGCCTTAGTGATTGCCACGTTCTATATCTCTCGTTTTGTATCTCATTGAGTGCCACATTCTGTATCTCATTGAGTGCCACGTTCTGTATCTCATTGAGTGCCACGTTATGAATCTCAGTGATTGCCACATTCTGTATCTCAGTGAGTGCCACGTTATGAATCTCAGTGATTGCCATGTTATGTAATCCAGTGATTGCTACGTTCTAAATCTCAGTGATTGCCACATTCTGTATCTCAGTGATTGCCACGTTCTGTAACTCAGTTGCCACGTTATGAATCTCAGTGATTGCCATGTTATGTAATCCAGTGATTGCTACGTTCTAAATCTCAGTGATTGTCACATTCTGTATCTCAGTGATTGTCACATTCTGTATCTCAGTGATTGACACGTTGTTTATCTCAGTGATTGCCACACTCAGTAAGTGTCAGGTGCTTTAGCTCAGTCATTGTCACGCTCTGTATCTCAGTGATTGCCACGTTCTGCTTTGCATTTTTTATGATAAAATAGAAATACAGGCAGACACAGACTTTAAGGGGGTTATCTCAGTGATTGCCACGTTATGAATCTCAGTGATTGCTACGTTCAGTGATTGTCACATTCTGTATCTCAGTGATTGCCACGTTCTGTAACTCAGTGAGTGCCACGTTATGTAACTCAGTGATTGCTACGTTCAGTGATTGCCACGTTCTATATCTCAGTGATTGTCACGTTCAGTGATTGTCACATTCTGTATCTCAGTGATTGCCACGTTCTGTATCTCTTTGAGTGCCACATTATGAATCTCAGTGATTGCCACGTTCTGTAACTCAGTGAGTGCCACGTTATGTAACTCAGTGATTGCTACGTTCAGTGATTGCCACGTTCTATATCTCAGTGATTGTCACGTTCAGTGATTGTCACATTCTGTATCTCAGTGATTGCCACGTTCTGTATCTCTTTGAGTGCCACATTATGAATCTCAGTGATTGCCACGTTCTGTAACTCAGTGAGTGCCACGTTATGTAACTCAGTGATTGCTACGTTCAGTGATTGCCACGTTCTATATCTCAGTGATTGTCACATTCAGTGATTGTCACATTCTGTATCTCAGTGATTGCCACGTTCTGTATCTCTTTGAGTGCCACGTTATGAATCTCAGTGATTGCCACGTTATGTAATCCAGTGATTGTCACGTTCAGTGATTGTCACATTCTGGATCTCAGTAATTGCCCTAGTGATTGCCACGTTCTGAAACTCAGTGATTGCCACATTCTACTTTGCATTTTTTATGCAAAAAACAGAAATAGAGGCAGGCACAGAATTTAAGTGGGTTATCTCAGTGATTGCCACTTTCTGTAACTCGGTGATTGCCACGTTCTGTAACTCAGTGATTGCCACGTTCTGTGATTGCCACGTTCTTTAACTCCGTGATCGACACGTTCTACATCTCAGTGATTGCCACATTCTGTATCTCAGTGATTGACACGTTGTGTATCTCAGTGATTGTCACATTTTGCAAGGCATTTTTTATGCAAAAAACAGAAATAAGGGTTTTAAGTGGGTTATCTCAGTGATTGACACTTTCTGTAACTCAGTGAGTGCAATGTTCTGTATCTCAGTGATTGCCACGTTCTGTAACTCAGTGATTGCCACATTCTGCTTTGCATTTTTTATGCAAAAAACTGAAATACAGGCTTTAAAGGAACACTATAGTCACCTAAATTACTTTAGCTTAATAAAGCAGTTTTAGTGTAGATCATTCCCCTGCAATTTCACTGCTCAATTCACTGTCATTTAGGAGTTAAATCACTTTGTTTCTGTTTATGCAGCCCTAGCCACACCTCCCCTGGCTATGATTGACAGAGCCTGCATGAAAAAAAAACTGGTTTCACTTTCAAACAGATGTAATTTACCTTACATAATTGTATCTCAATCTCTAAATTGAACTTTAATCACATACAGGATGCTCTTGCAGGGTCTAGCAAGCTATTAACATAGCAGGGGATAAGAAAATCTTAATTAAACAGAACTTGCAATAAAGAAAGCCTAAATAGGGCTCTCTTTACAGGAAGTGTTTATGGAAGGCTGTGCAAGTCACATGCAGGGAGGTGTGACTAGGGTTCATAAACAAAGGGATTTAACTCCTAAATGACAGAGGATTGAGCAGTGAGGCTGCAGCGGCATGTTCTATACACCAAAACTGCTTCATTAAGCTAAAGTTGTTCAGGTGACTATATTGTCCCTTTAACCCCTTAAGGACCAAACTTCTGGAATAAAAGGGAATCATGACATGTCACACATGTCATGTGTCCTTAAGGGGGTTAAGTGGGTTATCTCAGTGATTGCCACTTTCTGTAACTCAGTGAGTGCAATGTTCTGTATTTCAGTGATTGCCACGTTCTGTATCTCAGTGATTGCCACGTTCTGTGATTGCCATGTTCTTTAACTCAGCGGTTGCCACGTTCTGTAACTCAGTGATTGCCACATTCTGCTTTGCATTTTTTATACAGAAAACAGAAATAGAGGCAGACACAGACTTTAAGTTGGTTATTTCAGTGATTGCCACTTTCTGTAACTCAGTGATTGCCACGTTCTGTATCTCATTGAGTGCCACATTAAATATCCTAGTGATTGCCATGTTCTATAACTCAGTGATTGCCACTTTCTGTAACTCAGTGAGTGCAATGTTCTGTATTTCAGTGATTGCCACGTTCTGTATCTCAGTGATTGCCACGTTCTGTGATTGCCATGTTCTTTAACTCAGTGGTTGCCACGTTCTGTAACTCAGTGATTGCCACATTCTGCTTTGCATTTTTTATACAGAAAACAGAAATAGAGGCAGACACAGACTTTAAGTTGGTTATCTCAGTGATTGCCACTTTCTGTAACTCAGTGATTGCCACGTTCTGTATCTCATTGAGTGCCACATTAAATATCCTAGTGATTGCCACGTTCTGTGATTGCCACGTCCTTTAACTCAGTGATTGCCACGTTATTTGGCTCAGTGATTGCCACATTCTGTATCTCAGTGATTGTCACGTTGTTTATCTCCGTGATTGCCACACGCTGTATCTCAGTGATTGCCACGTTCTGCTTTGCATTTTTTATGAAAAAAACAGAAAAACAGGCAGACACAGACTTTAAGGGGGTTATCTCAGTGATTGCCACGTTCTGTATCTCAGTGATTGACACATTATGTAATCCAGTGATTGCTACGTTCTATATCACAGCGATTGCTATGTTCTATATCTCAGTGATTGCCACATTCTGTATCTCACTGATTGCCCTAGTGATTGCCACTTTCTGTAACTCAGTGATTGCCACGTTCTGTATCTCAGTGATTGCCACATTCTGTATCTCAGTGATTGCCACTTTCTGTAACTCAGTGATTGCCACGTTCTGTATCTCAGTGATTGCCACATTCTGTATCTCAGTGATTGTCACGTTCTGTATCTCAGTGATTGACACGTTGTTTATCTCAGTGATTGCCACTTTCTGTAACTCAGTGATTGCCACGTTCTGTATCTCAGTGATTGCCACTTTCTGTAACTCAGTGATTGCCACGTTCTGTATCTCAGTGATTGTCACGTTCTGTATCTCAGTGATTGTCACGTTGTTTATCTCAGTGATTGCCACGCTCTGTATCTCAGTGATTGCCACATCCTGCTTTGCATTTTTTTATGGAAAAAAAACAGAAATACATGCAGACACAGACTTTAAGGGGGTTATCTTAGTGATTGCCACGTTATGTAACTCAGTGAGTGCCACATTCTGTATCTCAGTGATTGCCACGTTCTGTATCTCAGTGATTCCCACATTCTGTATCTCATTGAGTGCCACGTTGTGAATCTCAGTGATTGCCACGTTCTGTATCTCAGTGATTGCTATGTTCTATATCGCAGTGGTTGCCCTAGTGATTGCCACGTTCTGTAACTCAGTGATTGCCACATTCTGCTTTGCATTTTTTATGCAAAAAACAGAAATACAGGGTTTAAGTGGGTCATCTCAGTGATTGCCACGTTTTTTAACTCAGTGATTGCCATGTTTTGTAACTCAATGATTGCCACATTCTGCTTTGCCTTTTTTATACAAAAAACAGAAATAGAGGCAGACATACTTTAAGCTGGTTATCTCAGTGATTGCCACTTTCTGTAACTCAGTGATTGCCACGTTCTGTATCTCATTGAGTGCCACATTAAATATCTCAGTGATTGCCACGTTCTTTAACTCAGTGATTGCCACGTTCTTTGGCTCTGTGATTGCCACGTTCTGTGATTGTCACGTTCTTTAACTCAGTGATTGCCACGTTCTGTGATTGCCACATTCTTTGGCTCTGTGATTGCCACGTTCTGTGATTATCACATTCTTTAACTCAGTGATACCCACGTTCTTTGGCTCAGTGATTGCCACATTCTTTAACTCAGTGATACCCACGTTCTTTGGCTCAGTGATTGCCACGTCCTTTAACTCAGTGATCGCCACGTTCTTTGGCTCAGTGATTGCCGCATTCTGTAACTCAATAATTGCCACGCTCAGTGATTGCCACGTTCTTTAACTCAGTGATTGCCACATTCTGCGTTGCATTTTTTATGCAAAAATCAGAAAAACAGGCAGACCCAGAAACCTTGCACGTTAGGCTCCTGATAAATGGTGTATTCAGTATTTCAGAAATTGATAATTGAGAAGAGATTTATCTTAGACCAATACATCCAAATGGGTAGAATGTTCCAAGCAGCTGTTTTTCCAGATTGGGATTTATTTTGACATTTGCAATTCCCTAGTTTTTCCCCACAATGCAGCCTTACTGAATGAACCCACAGGAGTGAAGCTCGTTATGTCACGTTATGTCACGTTATGTCACGTGTGCCTCTCTTTCAGATATTAAATGTAGAAGATGGACAAGTCGATAAAACATTGTATTCCGGGAGCCGCAAAAGGCTTCCGATTACTGCCCTGCAATATCACCCGAGGAGTGAGAACCTGCTGGTTGCGGCTGGAGCTGACGGACTGGTCTCCATTTATGATATCAAGTCAGAAATCAACGTCTTCTCAATAACGGGTAAGATTAGAGTCTGCAATCTGATAACTGCGTTAATTACTCACAGGACATTTTCAGTCTATCAATAAACTCAGACAGGGTTATTCACTGCAGTGACAAAGCTGGGTGAAATCAAAGGGAATTTCAAATTTAAGACTAAAATAGTCAAGTTGGAAAAATTCTCGAAATCAGCTACGCTTTCATTCAGCTACTCTGGCCTTAAATTGGAAACTCGTTAACAAAGATTTGCAAAGTTTGTAACAATACTCTATATAGATGCCATGTCTCCTTTGGAATCCCCAGAATTATTGTCTCTGGTGTTCACTAACCTTTTCCACACCACAACTCTAAAAGACCCTGAAAACTATTTCTGAGACCCTTAAATGCTTCATAGACACATTTCCTAAATACGTCAAATCCTGGAGAATTCAGCAACAAACTGGCTTTAGAGTTTCCTGACCTGTATTATAATGGGCATACACTGGTAAACACAACTTTTTACCTTTAAAACCTAGGGTACCTAACTAAAGTAACCTCTGTAGCGGAGCTGTAATGTTAAATCCCAATATCTCCGCTGGTACAGAAAGTGATCCAAGTAAAGCTCTGAAAATGAAAGCAATATCCCAAATCCCCCAGTAAACACAGTTCTGGGAGTCAACTGACAATTTTATTCACAGCTCCAGTATTTATGTGGTTCCCCATGCGAGGGGTTTCCTTAGTCACTTTACAGGGGTTGTACAGTAGGGGATTACATGGGGAACTGAAAATACAGGGCATTTCTCCCACCATGCACTGCTGTACGAGAGGGATACTCCCACTACAATATCCTGTTAAGTGGATTATCCCTCCGTACAGCAGAACTGACTTTTTACACAAAATTGCAAAACTTGAATATTCTACATATGATTCTACCGAATGACCGTTTGGTAGATAGCTGGGCTCTGAGCGCACACTTTGTGAAAGTACCGCTCAGATGCCAGCGTAAATAACCGAACGCCGCACGAAACACACATTATATTCCATTCCCCTTAAAAGTACCGAACACATATGGGGGAATAAGAAACAACAAAAAATACAAGGTGCGCTAGGTAGAATAAATAAGGGATATCAAATATCAAATAATATTTACTTTTGTAAATATTATTTGATATTTGTATTATTTATCCCTTATTTATTCTACCTAGCGCACCCTGTATTTTTTGTTGTTTCTTGCTCCCAGATTTATTGAAGGGTTTGAGGGTTGCCCTTCTTCTCAGGTGTGCAGCTCCATCCACCTCTGTGATCAGTACTGTAGCGCTGTTCCATTCCATACTCTATTTCTTTTTGTTATAGCCACATATGGGGGAATAAAGTACCGAAGGACTGGTGCTCCCGAATGGCCTGGAAGTCCAGAGGTGTTCGCGCCGATTTTAGTTCCAGGCGCTCGACGACCAAACACTGCTGGGATAACAAAGGATCCAAGATGGCCGACTGCCGCGTGGTCGGTAGCCGAACGACGGCCACCTAGGAAAGCACTTATCCGCCGATTGCTACAATGTTGCAATCGGTTAATGAGAGCCACACAACCCTCTGTGTGTGGGCTCCCATTCGGTACTTTATTCGTTTCACGAATAGTGTATAAAGTCACTGTTCGTGAAACTACCATATGAATGCTAGTAGCTTTCGGCTGTTAGCATATGCATGCTCTCTATTATAAAACCACACGAATACATTCTTGCACAAGATTAACACAGCTTTTTACAGACAACCTTTAAATGTTATGCAGTATGACCTAAAGTGGCTAGGTTTGCCACAACCTCCTTCCACAGCTCGATCCGTGCGGGGGGAGGTGAGTTGAGAAGGGCCCCATACCATACTCACAGCACAGTGCACGACTTGCTCATAGTAAGAGTGCTCTGTGAGCTCACTAGACTTGTGTGTGGTGCGGAAATTTGGCTTGGACAAACTACTTTTTCCAAAAACAGAATCATATTCAGGACACTGGAATTCGGCTGAATGTACAGAATTTCTGAACTAAGATTCCGATTCGGGAATTAAATGAAAAGATCAAATAATGTCTAAAATGTGCTCTGTGTACTACAAAATATATACATTTTCCTGGTGAGTTTCTGAAAATTCCTGGTTTATTGCTTAACTCTGCCACATTAAATGGTAGGTTTTTGTTATTACTATTTTAATTATTATAATTATCATTGGCATTAATATAGCGCCAAAATATTCCGCAGCACTTTACAATATTACAAAGAGGGAAATTTAACAATAAATGAGACAATTACACAATGTTACAGAAACAATAGACAATGAGGACCCTGCTAAAACAGACAATATAGGCACCCAGGCAAGTTCAGCTAATTGAAGTGGTCTGGGTGCAATGTCCCTAATGCATTGAGGGCAGCTCCAAAGACACTGCAATGTTTACATTGCAGCACTAAATCTGCCCACAGTGGCAGTCTCCCAGAGGACCTCCAGCGTCAGATTTTTCCCCATAGGTAAACATTGATCCTCACGGGACATCATAGGAGGCTGAGCCGCGACCCAGTGCCGAGGGACATTGGCACTGGGTCACGGTAAGTAAATAAAGGGTTTTTAACCCTTTATTTACGATTGTAAGGGGGGCCTGAAGGACGTGGGAGGCAGGGGGAACGATAGTGCCAGGAATACAGCATTGTATTTCTGGCACTATAGTATCCCTTTAAATTCTAGAGAAATCTATTGTATTTTTAGAAATTATTATCATTCCAGTTGGTTTCTATATTTTTTTAATCAATTTCTTTGTTTCAGAACTGGAGAATGAAATAAATGCTCTGGATTTCTGCATGGACGGCAGTGTGTACGCCACAGCGGGAAAGGACAAGAAAGTCCGACTATATGACAGTCACACTAACGAGGTAATGCGGACCTTCTCTGAGTCTGGGGTGGGGGAGCCACAGAATCACAGCGATCCTTCAATATGTATTTTGAAAAAAACTATTTATGCAGACTCTCTATTAACAAGTTTTGTAACAGTCACTTGAAATACATGAAAAAAGTGGAAAAATCCATGTAAAGGTTGTTACCACTTTAAACATCACCCTTCAGTCTCAGGCTTTCTTGTCAAATTCCCATAATGGCCAATATAAAGCTCAGAGTGACATACTCCTACATGGGCAGGTTATATTCTTTCTCACCCCCTTACTGCTGTCCCCATGCTCTGGGTCAGGGTTAGACAATCTTTGACACTCCAGAAGTTGTGGACTACATCTCCCATAATGCTCTTACTACCATAATGCTGGCTAAACATAAAGGACGATACAGACCACAATATCTGGAGTGCCAAAGGCTCTACAGGTTGGGGTTCAGTCGATCAAAATTCTGGGTTATAGTCCCTGTATGGAGCCGGCCCTCGGTTCCCGATCTCCCTTCCCTGCACTCTCTGTTTATTCTGATCTTTGACATAATGAACATGAACAGATATCATTACCCTTACACACCCTGCTTGTAATAACTCACTGGAGAATGAGCTGGATAAAGAGAGAGCTGTGCTGATGGTTTCTTGCACTAATTTGCAATTGCTTTGCTGCCCTTATTTATTTATTTATAAAATATTTTAACAGGAAAGATACATTGAGATTTCTCTCTTGATGCAGGTTTTAAACATCTTCGAAGCACCAGAATATTTTTACGGTGACGATGTTCCATTTACAAGTGGCCACACTCGAAGGATCTTTGCCTTAAAGTTTCACCCGTCAGAAAACCACATTTTCCTGACCGGCGGCTGGGACGATTCTATTAAGGTCAGTGGGACATTTTACCATTACTGCTGCTGTGAACCCTTTACTTCTAACATTAACCACCCCAGGATGCTGAAACATTCATAAGAGCTGGATTATCAGAGTCCCAGCAGGTAAAGTCTAAACTACTGTCCTCTGCGGCTTCCATCACATAAAAACTGGGATTATTTACTAATGACAAATGGGGAGAATGTATGGTTCATTTGTTTTTTAAATGTATGCTATTTTTTTTGGCTAAATAATGAGAACAAGGTAAGTTTAAGTCCAAATTGCTAAAATTAAAAACAAAAAAACAAAACCCCAAATGTTTCTAATTTGCTTATTTTCTCCTACAATTAGCACTTCCCTGAATGATAACAGGATTGGATATAAATAGTCACTAAATAAAAGCATTTTTGTCACTGTGGTGTCAATGGTTGAAGCTAGTTTGTATAAAAACTTCCAGTTGAATTGTGACTTGGCTGACAGGATCACGTGACATCAGTACAGGATAATTGAGGACTATATGGCCCAATGTTTACTTTACTACTGACAGATGGGAAGTAGAGAGAATAGAGGGATTAGTAAATAGGTAATGAAGGAGAGGATGGAGGGAGGGGATAGAGGGATTGGTAAATAGGTAATGGAGGAGAGGATGGAGGGATTGGTAAATAGGTAACGGGGAGACGATAGAGTAATTGGTAAATAGGTAACAGGGAGACGATAGAGGGATTGGTAAATAGGTAATGGAGGATAAGATAGAGGGGTTGGTAAATACGTAATGGAGGGGAGGATAGAGAGACTGGTAAATAGGTAATAGAGGAGAGGGTAGATGGATTGGTAAATAGGTAATGGAGGAGAGGATAGAGGGATTGGTAAATAGGTAATGGAGGAGAGGATAGAGAGATTAGTAAATAGGTTATGGAGGAGAGGATAGAGGGACTGGTAAATAGGTAGTAGAGGAGAGGGTAGATGGATTGGTAAATAGGTAATGGAGGAGAGGATAGAGAGATTGGTAAATAGGTTATGGAGGAGAGGATAGAGGGATTGGTAAATAGGTAACGGGGAGACGATAGAGGGATTGGTAAATAGGTAATGGAGGATAAGATAGAGGGGTTGGTAAATACGTAATGGAGGGGAGGATAGAGAGACTGGTAAATAGGTAATAGAGGAGAGGGTAGATGGATTGGTAAATAGGTAATGGAGGAGAGGATAGAGGGATTGGTAAATAGGTAATGGAGGAGAGGATAGAGAGATTAGTAAATAGGTTATGGAGGAGAGGATAGAGGGACTGGTAAATAGGTAATAGAGGAGAGGGTTGGATGGATTGGTAAATAGGTAATGGAGGAGAGGATAGAAGGATTGGTAAATAGGTAATGGAGGAGAGGATAGAGGGATTGGTAAATAGGCAATGGAGGATAAGATAGAGGGATTGTTTAAATAGGTAATGGAGGAGAGGATGAAGGATATCTAATGGAGGAAAGGGTAGAGGGATTGGTAAATAGGTAATGGAGGAGAGGATAGAGGGATTGGTTAAATAGGTAATGGAGGAGAGGATAGAGGGATTGGTTAAATAGGTAATGGAGGAGAGGATAGAGGGATTGGTTAAATAGGTAATGGAGGAGAGGATAAAGGGAGGGGATAGAGGGACTGGTAAATAAGAGGGGATAGAGGGATTGGTAAATAGGTAATGGAGGAGAGAGGGATTGGTAAATAGGTAATGGAGGAGAGAGGGATTGGCAAATAGGTAATGGAGGAGAGGATAGAGGGATTGGTAAATAGGCAATGGAGGAGAGGATAAAGGGAGGGGATAGAGGGATTGGTAAATAAGAGGGGAGAGAGGGATTGGTAAATAGGTAATGGATGAGAGAGGGATTGGTAAATACTTAATGGAGGAGAGGATAGAGGGATTGGTAAATAGGTAATGGAGGAGAGGATAGAGGGATTGGTAAATAGGTAATGGAGGAGAGGATAGAGGGATTGGTTAAATAGGTAATGGAGGAGAGGATAGAGGGATTGGTTAAATAGGTAATGGAGGAGAGGATAAAGGGAGGGGATAGAGGGATTGGTAAATAGGTAATGGAGGAGAGGATTGGTAAATAGGTAATGGAGGAGAGGATAGAGGGATTGGTAAATAGGTAATGGAGGAGAGGATAGAGGGATTGGTAAATAGGTAATGGAGGAGAGGATAGAGGGATTGGTAAATAGGTAAAGGAGGAGAGGATAGAGGGATTGACATGTAGATAATGAAGGAGAGGATCATGGTATTTTGGTTTTCTGTGATTTATTGTCTGATTACATTTTCTACTATCATTAACTAATTTACAAGTTCCGCAAATTGCTGTTTTTATTTTCTCCTCATTACAGATTACTGGGCAAAAGAGAAAATGTATGTATGTATGTATGTATATATCATTCTTTATTTATAAGATTTATTTATTACAATAACAGGTTTGGGACAAGAGAATGGCAAAGGAGGCACGGAGAGTAATAGATGGTCCTCACATATGTGGCCCTGGGATTGATATTAAGGTGAGCTGATAATCACGTTTAGGGTCATACCTCAGATCTTGGCGCAGGGATTTTTATTGGCGCAATCTCTTCAAACTACTGTCAGTGTTAAAACTGCAGCTCCCTAGTAAAACTGTTAGAAGTACCCTGTCAGTTCCATCTTCTGCCAAGTTCGTATCCCACACCCTACTGAACATGTCCATCCTTTCATCTGTTCTCTCCATTCCTTGGGGTCAGGGGATAATGGTTTTTGTTTCTCATTGTAATTCCCTTTGCTCAACTCTGTCGTTCAAATTTAACAATATTTCTAGTATTCAACTTTTTTCAAATACTTTCACATACTCCTCGTTCATCTCTTCCCATCTGAGCCACCAAAGTCTTTTTATACGCAAACTGTAAGCTTTCCGCAGGCGCATTTTCTTCTCAATGTTTACAGTTTTTGTTCATTGTTCTGTTCTCAGGACAACAAGATAATAACGGCGTCATGGGTGTCACGCAACGCTCTCCAGCTCTGGGATTTTCGGACGGGCAATCATTTACACGATTTGCCATTCCCAACAACTACAATGCAGGGAGAGTTTCTCTACGCCGCCAAGTTCTGCACTGACAGTATTGTCCTTGCTGGAGGAAGTGGCACATGTACTGCCTGTGCCATCAATCTGAACACACAAGAGGTAGGGCTCCCAAAATATCATCAGAGTTCATTTTATTAGAATTTAATAAACGGCAAGGGACTGGTCTGGTTTAAATAAGTTTTCAGAATTATTCAATACAATTAGAAACACTATCCAAATGATTTATCTACAAATATTCCCAGAGATTTCAATGGTGACCTCCGTAGATAAATCATTTGAAAACTTTATCTAACAGTACTGAATCCTTTGGAAATCTTATTAAGTTTATAATTCAGGTATTTATCAAAGGCAAACCTCAAGCAATTCGAAATGTAGTCATCTTTCTGATAACAAGGAGCCCTGGGGGAGTTTGGTTGCAGCATGTCTGCAGGTCTCTACGGCTGACGACTCCCTTAGAGTGGATCCCAATATGCCGAAATGTGTTTATTAATGTGCAGATGAATGTGATTTATTAATCCCTCAACTACATATCTGACAAGAGGAACTGCTGAGTAAGCTCGATGCTGCCATTCACTAAATTCACAGCTTTGCTTAGTTCTTTGAACGTCAAGACTGCACAGGATTTCTTAAAGCTGCACGCCATTCATTATTATATCCACAGCTTGGAGGGACATAAGGATTTTTATGAAACCGCTATGTACTCCCAAAGGATTAAAACATTTCTTAGCGAGGGCAAGTCTCACACTGCAGTGGTTTTTGCAGTAACATACCAGGAATGTAGGTTGTTATGTCAATCGTCTTTTTAATGATCTCTGAATTTATTGTAATGCTTTTCCAAAAAGGCCAGCAAGACAATCATTGTTTATATCAATTCTCATGCAAAAGACAAATCAATCAAATGAAAACCTTCAAATGTTCCTCAAAGTTCAGAGACAATTCAAGGCCAATTCTGTGTTTAGTGAATGTTTGAATCCATGTACCTGACACAGAATTCGGACATGCTAATCTCAGTTTCTTTATCCACATTGCTTTTAGTGAATAATTCACCAATCTGGCACCCAATTGTGGGCCTGGTGAACAGCATCAAAAGTGCTTTATATGCAGACTTGCTTCCAAGCAATATATTAAATATTTAACTGGAAATATATTAAATATTTAAATGGAAATATATTAAATATTGACCTAGCTATGTAGAAATGTTGAAAGAGATAGATTTGTATGTAAAGACAGAAAAACAAATATGTATCACTTTCTGAAATTCCTCTTGCTTTAAACTTAATAAAGAGACTATATATATACAGTATCTCACAAAAGTGAGTACACCCCTCACATTTTTGTAAATATTTTATTATATCTTTTCATGTGACAACACTGAAGAAATGACTCTCTGTTACAATGTAAAGTAATAAGTGTACAGCCTGTATAACAGTGTCAATTTGCTGTCCCCTCAAAATAACTCAACACACAGCCATTAATGTCTAAACCGTTGGCAACAAAAGTGAGTACACCCCTAAGTGGAAATGTCCAAATTGGGCCCAAAGTGTCAATATTTTGTGTGGCCACACACCCTCATGGGCATGGAGTTCACCAGAGCTTCACAGGTTGCCACTGGAGTCCTCTTCCACACCTCCATGACGACATCACAGAGCTGGTGGATGTTAGAGATCTTGCGCTCCACCAGCTTCCGTTTGCAGAAGCACCACAGATGCTCAATAGGGTTTAGGTCTGGAGACATGCTTGGCCAGTCCATGACCTTTACCTTCAGCTACTTTTGCAAAGTAGCTGAAGGTGTGTTTGGGGTCGTTATCATGTTGGAACACTGTCCTGAGGTCCAGTCTCCGAAGGGAGGGGATTGAGTTATTTTGAGGGGACAGCAAATTTACCCTGTTATACAGGCTGTACACTTACTACTTTACATTGTAACAGAGAGTCATTTCTTCAGTGTTGTCACATGAAAAAATATAATAAAATATTTACAAAAATGTGAGGGGTGTACTCACTTTTGTGAGATACTGTATATATATATTTCTCTGGTTTTAAAGTATGTCCTGGACCCACAAACAATATGGTACAGTATAATATTAAAAAATACAACACAGAAGAAGAAAGAAAGAGTTACCCATGATCACAGGTAGAGAGGGATATTTTAAAGGATTTTAGTGTGGAGGGAGATTTAATTGTGTCCGTGATGTTCCATAATTGTTGTGCTCTGTAGGGAAATGAGGATCAAGCTTTCTGGATTCCAGCGACAGCCAGTTTAGTTATTTAAGCATGTCACAATGGTGGGTCCTGTTATTACATTGTAGCACTAAGCGGCAGAACGAGTTATATAATGTATTCCGTTTATTAAGGTGGGTTTGCTGTTCGGGTGCATACACTGCATCCCCATAATCAATGACCGGCATTAGCATGTGTTGTATAATATGTTTCCTTACTGTGGGGTTTAGGCAGGAATTGTTTCTGTACTGGGCACCTAGTTTTGGATAAAGTTTCAATGGGTTTTTCTATGTTGGGGCCAAAATATAGATTGGTGTCTAGCAACATACCTAGATAGTTGAAAGAATGAACTGGGGTCAGTGTTTTATATAACTTTGTTCGGATGTATAGTTGTGAATTTTTTAATGTATGTAATGTAGGTACAGTTCCATAGATTATTGTTATTATTCTAATACTTTTTACACACCCAATTCATCTAAATAAAATAGCTCCAAATAGATTCACATATGTGTCCTGGTTGATACAAGCCTCATATGTCTAGAATCTAAATGAATTGCACCCCCCTCCTCCCCCCTTAATGTTATACCAACCACACACATTACCCTGTGTTTGATCTAACACTAACTATATTCCTTCCCTTCCCTACCCTTACTTTAACCTTAACCCTACACTATCCCTAACCCTAAAACAGGTACTGACATCAGCAGATGGGTTTCCTAATGAACACTATAGAACTATACAACTGTGTAATGTTAAAAACTATTTAGGTCCACAGCCCCCCTTGATTCCAGGGCTGCAAAGCAATGCCGGTGCTGGCTTCATCTCCGATCCACCTCCTTGGCTGAGATCAGGCAATCTAATGCTTTTGCATATTTGTTGAATCAATGCATCTCTATGAGGAAAGTTCAGTGTCTCCATGCAGAGGGTGGAGACACTGAATGTCAGTCACACTGTGCAGCCCTGCCCCAGGAAGCACCTCTAGCAGCCATCTGAGGAGTGGCCAGTGAAGTTATCACTAGGCTGTAATATAAACACTGCATTTTCTCTGAAAAGACAGTGTTTACAGCAAAAAGCATGAAGGTAATGATTCTACTCACCAGAACAAATTCAATAAGCTGTATACTGTACATTAAGCTATATACCGTACATTAAGCTGTATACCGTACATTAAGCTGTATACTATACATTACACTGTATACAGTACATTAAGCTGTATACTGTACATTAACCTGTATACTATACATTACACTGTATACAGTACATTAAGCTGTATATTATACATGGCACTGTAGACAGTACATTAAGCTGTATACTATACAATAAGCTGTATACTATACATTATACTGTACATTAAGCTGTATACTGTACGTTAAGCTGTATACTATACATGGCACTGTATACAGTACATTAAGCTGTATACTATACATTACACTGTATACCGTACATTAAGCTGTATACCGTACATTAAGCTGTATACTATACAATAAGCTGTATACTATACATTACACTGTATACTGTACATTAAGCTGTATACTGTACATTACACTGCATACCGTACATTAAGCTGTATACCGTACATTAAGCTGTATACAGTACATTAAGCTGTATACTATACATTTCACTGTATACCGTACATTAAGCTCTATACTGTACATTAACCTGTATACTATACATGGCACTGTATACTGTACATTAAGCTTTATTTGTTCTTGTGACTATAGTGTCCCTTTAAAGCACTAGCGAGTGGTATGTTGCCACCATCTCCGGTATTTTTTCAGTAATACAGGCACTTTTTCCATATTACTGAATCAAGCATGCTTTCCCAGCTGATTACACTGAGATTGGTGCTGGACAGCTGCCAAGCTGACAGAGTGGATCCCCCGTATCTATTGATATCTTGGACTCCTCGCAGTGAGCTGGGATTTAACCCTTCTAACTCCAAACTGCAGAAATGTCCACGCCGTCCTAATGACGTTAAATCCTCCTCTGTGGAGGACGGCATGGAACGGGGTTAAAGTATTTCATAATAATCTATTATGTTATATCAGGATTATATTTTGTGTGATCGGTTCTGAGTTGGGCATTTTTCCAGTTTGTTTTTTTGGCCATGCTTTGCGGCTCCCTGTTATTATCCTTTTCAGTAACCAGATATTCGTGACTTACTATATGTTATTTCCTTACAGATTCTCGGGGACATTTCGCTGCTGAATAAGCCTGTTCAGACAGTGGATGCTGCCTGCGGTGACCGTCTTGTGGCCGTCGCTGGTGTTGCAGGGAACCTTCACATTGCCGAGCTGTGTTAAATGCGCAACAAAGGACGGTGTCTTACTGGACAATAAGCCCATCAACACGTGTTTCCCATTTATATATTGCTATTCAAATTTCATGAAAAAATATTTGTATTTGTAACAGAACATACGTTAGCCTTTGCAGCAAGCTTTTATTTACCTAATTAAAATGCATGTTTCAATGCATGGAATTTCAGTGTTAATTCCATCTTGAATCAAAGCAGATGTTGGAGGCTTCTGATAAACTAGAAATCCCATGATCCTCTGGCAGGTGTAACAATGACATACAGACCAGAGAGAATCTTGGGATTTGTAGTTCACACAGATTACCAACACATGTATTGCCCCTGTTTGTTTTTTAGCCCAGAGCCATTGCTCCTTTCAGTCCAAAAATAAATTATTAGTATTTGTCTCACACCAATGCCGGTGCCAGGACTGGATTGAGATGTCAATTGCTATATTTAAAAAGAAGTGTAGTATCACATGAAACAAGTTAAAGCACGTTATAGATGATTTTCAAGGTTTTATTTCATGGTGTAATTGTCAGAGAAGTGAAGGTTCCCTAATGAGAAGCAGGTTTCAATATATTAGCACAGGACATGTTTAGCCAGAGGCACAGGTTTAATTAAACTTTAAAAAATGTATTTCAATGTTATTGTAGCTTTTTTTTGTATTCTTCATCATATTCAGGAGAAGACCACAAGGGGGCAGTAAAAGGTTTATGGATGAAAATGTACTACATGAATACATTTATCAAAATGCAATCTGTACAGAGAAGCATAGCTTTGGCCTGATTTATGTCTCACCCCGTGATGGTGCTGGGAGGGAGACTCTGCGTCACTGATGAACTGGGTGCACATTAAATAATCCGTCGAATCTATGTTTAAACCGTTGGCATCTAGCCTCCTCCCAGTTTATTTTATTACAAAGTAACAAAGCTTCAAACAGTCTCTGAAATAAAAATTAAAAACAAAATATGAATTTATTTCTGATTATTCTTTTAGTTCTGGAGAAATGATGCTGAAAGCAGTTCTTCTTCCAAAGTTTCAGTCAGTCAGTGTATGAACTACCCTTCCCATAATGCTCATGGCTGACTGATCAAGACTTTGTGGGGAAGTCGTGGCCCCCACTCAAATGTCACGAAGATTCCTTATTCTGTTAAATTAATTAACTTTAAGTTGAATGGAAATGTTTCCTATAAAAAAAATTTTTTTTTTACATTCTGCTGATTTTTAGATTCAATTTGGGCCTCAATTTTATATTTTGGGGTAAGCTATTCAAATTATTTACAACTTTAGTATACATTAAAAAAAAAACAAAACTATTTAAATATCGAAATATCAAAAAATATAATAATGTTAATTTAAATATATTAAATTAAGGCTTTGGTTGTTTGGAGGTCATCAGAATTCCTATTGTGGGAAATAAATTGCAACGTGTGACTAATTAAAGAATATTCATCCACATCTCACCTAGCCTCCTTAATGATGAACTAAACAGAGATAAACGGAGACTATAATAAACAAGATAACAGGCTTAGAGCTTCAGTGAACCAGGGTTTATAGTTCTGTTTGCTGCCATCATGGATAATTCCATAAGAAAGAGCGAAAATTGGGACCAACACAGCTGAACTTTCACCCATCTCTAGTTAAAAGGTGTTTTATTGTGAAGCTCGGCAAGTGATGGTAATAACTCTCGGTCAGACAGTCAAGATCCTACTCGTCATGGTTTTAGTTGTCTTTTTACAAGCAGTTAAATATCTTAGAGAATAGAAACCATATGTCTTGCAGAGTATTTAGAAGGTGTGAATAAAAAGACGAATGACGGATTTTGCAACAATTAAACAAAAAGGCTGAGATGACCATCTTTACCACAGTATACGCATTCACATGCAGACACAACAATATTCCAAATCAAAATAAAATTACGACCATCGAGAAATGGAAAATGGAGGAAAGGATTGGTACAACCAATACGACAATAATTACTAAGGAAAATGTAACGAGACAAACTGAATTGTTTATAACTAAAAAAAGTAAAATGTCATAATAAAACATACAATATGCAGCACTTCTACACTTTTTACAACATATAACTAGATATATTCAGGTAGTATGATAAATACTGTGAAACACATACAACATGTTACTAATGTTTAGTGTTACAGAATCACGTACTTCCCTCCTATGTGGTCTAATAGTACCGGTAATATAAAAGCTCACAGACAGTCTGTTACACATTACCAGCACACAAACACACTATAGGTTTCAAAACATTTTTAACCTAATGATACAATTATGGTGTATAGACCATGCCCCTGAAGTCTCATTGCAATTCACTGCCATTCAGGAGTTAACCCCTTAAAACCGGAGGGCGGGTGGGGATACAGGAAGTCCCCCACGGCAGATCCTGCCTCCTCCGCCCCCCCTGGCCATGTGAGAGTGAGGTCCTTGCGAGGACCTCACAATCACATGGCCAGGTTAGCTGGCTGCTGCATTGCCAGCAGGGGGACTGCCTGTAATGACAGGTAGTCCCCCTGCTGGCTGAATTCAAATAAAATAATGTTAAAATCAGTGTAAAAAAAATATTATATACTTAGATCATATATATATATATATTTATACACATATACATACACACTCATACACTGTCTAGGTGTATTTTACTATATATATATATACTTACGTAGACTGATGCTGATTAAATATATAATTATTGTTATAATATAAATAGGTTAAAAATAAAATTAAAAAAAATAATTAAAAATAATTTAAAAAATATATAGATGTGTGTTATTTCGTACTAACTGTATTGTGATATTTATATATATATCAAAATACATGTAGAACGAAATAATATATATATATATCTATATACATAAATATATACGTATATATCACTATATATATATATATATATATAGTTAATACAATGCTAAACAAAAATCTGCACACCAGTCAAGCCATAAGACTTGCTTTTCCCACAGAAATCCCAAATCAGCAGTGATGTTACAACCGCAAAGGATTCTGGGTGGGCATATGCAAATTAGTTTAACAAAGAATCACATTTTTGCCTCATTCCATTTTAAACATGGATTCCTTTTAATTTGTGTTTGCAGTATACAACTGCTTGGAACACAATTTAGGATAAGATGCAAAACCAGTGAACCACTCATGGACAGCTGTTTCGTTGTTAATGCAACTCTTCAGCATGAGGTTGGTTACTGGTTTGCTTAGTGAGGCTTGGTAGTGCTTGGGAAGCAAAATCCAATTAGGTTATGGTGGGGAAAAATTGTGATTGAAAACCCCTGAAGAGTTGCATTAACAACGAAACAGCTGTCCATGAGTGGTTCACTGGTTTTGCATCTTATCCTAAATTGTGTTCCAAGCAGTTGTATACTGCAAACACAAATTAAAAGGAATCCATGTTTAAAATGGAATGAGGCAAAAATGTGATTCTTTGTTAAACTAATTTGCATATGCCCACCCAGAATCCTTTGCGGTTGTAACATCACTGCTGATTTGGGATTTCTGTGGGAAAAGCAAGTCTTATGGCTTGACTGGTGTGCAGATTTTTGTTTAGCATTGTATTAACTATCCACATACTTCAGGTGGAAGGGGTTTTCAATCACAATTTTTCCCCACCATAACCTATTTGGATTTTGCTTCCCAAGCACTACCAAGCCTCAATAAGCAAACCAGTAACCAACCTCATGCTGAAGAGTTGCATTAACAACGAAACAGCTGTCCATGAGTGGTTCACTGGTTTTGCATCTTATCCTAAATTGTGTTCCAAGCAGTTGTATACTGCAAACACAAATTAAAAGGAATCCATGTTTAAAATGGAATGAGGCAAAAATGTGATTCTTTGTTAAACTAATTTGCATATGCCCACCCAGAATCCTTTGCGGTTGTAACATCACTGCTGATTTGGGATTTCTGTGGGAAAAGCAAGTCTTATGGCTTGACTGGTGTGCAGATTTTTGTTTAGCATTGTATTAACTATCCACATACTTCAGGTGGAAGGGGTTTTCAATCACAATTTTTCCCCACCATAACCTAATTGGATTTTGCTATATATATATATATATACCTATATATAAATAAAAATATTTTTTAAAAAAATGAAAAAATAAATAAATATATATATATATATATATATATATATTAAGGCCATTTGGCCTGTAATTGTGGGAGGTGCTTGTTATTCACTGCTGGCCTACTTAAGAGACACCCCTTACCTGGCTCCATACCGTTCGAGGTCAGCGTTGAATGAGGATCCACTTCCGGGTTCTCTCAGACGCCATCTTGGTTTTCAGTATCCACGAGTTTTTCCGCGGCAAGCTGTGTCCAGGAATCCTGTTACAGGCCTTTCCGTCCGTCCAGCCTCTCCTGACCCCGGGTCATCATCATAGATCGCGTCCCAGGGACTCCTAAACCGTAAGTTAGACCTACCTGTCACACCAGGATCGGTTTCCACGGCGTCCGGTACAGCACGGGTCCTCACTTTACGGTCTTTTCCCTGTTATGTTGCAAATTGGACAATCCGTTCGCGGAATCATTTCGAGCAATATTCGGCAATTCATTGTGTTAGTTAAGGGTTGTCATTTCGCCTAAAGCTGTTCCGTGTTTTCGGCGAAACAAGCTATCCTTTATTATTTCGCCTTTCGGCACTTGTTCATGATATGCTTAGCACGCTTGCCTGTTCGCATAGGTTTTCATACGTGTAAACTGTTCGTTTCAGTTCTGCTTTCCCTTGCCATAGAGTTCGGTATATTGTCTTGCTCATGTATTCGCATAAATCCTTTTCGTGGATTACATACATCATGTCATGCCTATATCGTTCGGTTAAACGATTTGGTTTTGCTTACTGGATATAAACGAATTCTATTTACTGTTTAAAGGTATCTGGGTTGTATTGGATTCCATAGCAAACCAGTTCACATATCTGTATGGATCATTTGACTCCCACGCTGTCAGGGGTTTTCCATACTGATCCATTACAGTCACGTTTTTTCAGCCTACAGTTACAGGCCTCATTTCTGTTTTAAACTATGACAAGACATACATGAGGATACGATTTCCTTTTTCCAAACAGGGAATTCTCGGGTTGAATCACACGTACTGATCCAACCAATCACACGTCTTTTCATTACAGTACTATCATATACAACTTTACATCATCACTTTGGAGAATTGTTTTCACCCCTTCCCCTTTGTGGTTAATTATATGTCGGCATGGCTCATCTAAGTACAGGCCGTGGCCTCCCCCCCCATTTCTTACTTGACCCCATCATACATCCCCTCTGTTTCTAGCCAGAATTCTGGCATTAGAAGACACTGCATCACTTGGCCTTTTAGTAACATTTATGTTGTCATGGCATTCACTACACTTTCATGCCATTTACCAGTATATCTCCATAACCAAGTCCTTAAAACACCTCTGGTACGGGCTACATAGACTACACCATTCCCACACAGACCACACTTACTATATTACCTTTTTTTACCTGTTTCAGGTTATCCAGGTTTATATAGTTCACCATACAAATTCGCAGTGATATACTCATACTACCAGGTATGTACGCCTGCTCACGTGGTATTCTTACATACATTTCATCCCCCCCACCCCCCCAGGTTAGAGTACTGGCAATAGGGTCACAGGCTCCCCAATAGGTATTTACCCCTTCTTGGCATTTGCCATCGGTTAGGGGTCCCGCGAGGCCAACACCCCGCCTCAACGTTCGGAGGCAAACACCCATCGGGCCACACGTGAGCTAGTCGCCTAGCATGTCGCATACAGAGGGCCTCACCTGTCACTCCCTTCCCCTTTTTTCTGTGTCACAGTCACCAAAAGGCCTACAATCCTGCCACTACGACGGGTGGCCTTGAATCCCCTCGCGCCAACGCATAGATAGAGCCTCTCAAGCCACTTGGCAAATAGCAGGGCCTCACCTGTCACCAAACAAGTTTAATGTTTCGCCATCCAGCTTAGCTAGCCTGCCAGTATGATCTCGGTGGTTTTCAAACACTAATTAATTGTTTTCTTTTAGTATATCTCAGGAAGGGGTAGAGGATT